CCGCCTCCGCGCGGGACTCGCCCCCCCCGCCGCACGTCGGCGGGGGCGCAGCGCCCCCTGGCGGCCTCGCCACCGGCGCCCAATGGCGGAGAGTGCCCAGCGCCGCCTCGGAGCGGGCCCCGATTGCCCGAAATCACCCCAAATTGCCCCAAAAAGCACCACTGCCCGTAACCCCCACCAAGGAGGGTCCAAGCTGGGTCCAGGGAGCTGCCCGGTGCCCGCAGGCCCAGGCAGGCACCGACACACGGTGTCACCCTAGCGAATTCGCATTTTTTTATTATATTTTTTATTATTTTTTATTATTTTTTATTATTTTTATTTTTTAATTTTTCAAATTATTTATTAAATTATTTATTATTATTATTTATTTATTAATTTTTTTTCTGCCTCTAAATGCCAAGAATTCACAGGAAATAGGGGCTTCTGGCTGTGGCCTTTTTACCTATGCATGTCGCATGGGGGGTCTCGCCACTGGAGCGGCACAAGGCACCTCTTTTCTCTGGAAAGCTGGAGGGAAAAGAAAAGGGATCCCCTGTGGGGCTTCATGCCTTTTTAATGAGGGGGTTTTAATGAAAGATTTTGCAGGTGGGAGCCCCCCCGCCCCACCTGCCCTTTCCTTCTCCCTGGGACGAGTGTCTTTGATGCTGGGAACTAATTGCCACCACCTCCCGGGATGGGATTTGGGGGACTCCATGAAAGACTTGGCAAGTAAACAGCCAAGGAGAGATCTGCYGGGGCAAATTAATCGGCGCCTTTTGGCTGCATCGTCAGTACACAGTAAAATAGGAGTAATTAATGTCTTGTCCCCAAAACCGCAGTATCTCCCTAACCAGGAATATTTTATGGTGCTCTATAGCTCCAAATCCTGGAAATTTGTGGTAAATCACTGTGGAAATTTGTGGTAAATCAGACTCGTCGGAATTCACGGTCACCCCCAAACCCAGGAGGATGGCTCGGCAAGGCAGCTTTCCAGGAAACTATGTTTATGGGCATTATTTATATGTTTAATCCCTAAATAGTGAATTAATCACTCCTCTCTTTTGCTCATGGCAGAGGTCAGGATAAGCAGTCTGGGGCACGGAGGAAATCCTTTCTAAATCCTGGAATTATTTTTGCAATCCTCATGCTTCCTAGTGGTCCAGGTTTCGCCAGGATTTAATACAGGAGGCCCAGCAGGCGCAACTCATCCTGGTACAAGGATCAGGCCTTGCTTGTCCTGGCTCTTGCTGGGGAGTCACATTCCCCAGTCACCTAAAAGCCTCTCCTCTGGGTGGAAAAGGKCTTGGGATAGATGTCAAACCTCCCTTTCTTCTCACGTTACCCAAGACGATGGCTTCTCCAGCCTGCTTCCCAACACGGAACAAGCRCCACTGTTGGACATTTCAGCCCATCGTGCCGGTGTCTGAATTTCCCACTCCTGTAGAGCTGCCAGGAGCCCTTCGGACGAGCAGYTTCAGAGCATCCCTGGCAGTTGCCCATATTCCTTCCTAAATATCTTTAACTTCCTATCTTTTCCTGTGCCATGACACTCTCTAAACTGATTTTGCTTTGCTTTGTGCTGCTTCTTTAGCATCTTCCTTGATGGGCCATTTTATTTTATTTTATTTTATTTTATTTTATTTTATTTTATTTTATTTTATTTTATTTTATTTTTTTATTTTATTTTTTTTTACCAAAATCAGCAGTCTGTGTGTTTTGGGGATACAACACACGAAGTCCTCCAGCACTCTCCCGTCCTCGCCAGCACCTCCAGGTTTGGGCTCCTGCTCCCGCACACTTGGGCAGGAGCTGGGCCCCGCGGAGGTTCCGCTCTCTGTATCGCTGATCGGCACCGTAAGCCCTTTATGCAAAGCCGCCCTAATCAGATCATGATCCCCGGCACCAAGGCAACCGCTAATTTTTAGGTCAGTGATTAACTCTTAGAGGAGGAGGAGGAGGAGGAGGARGAGGAGGAGGCCTATGGGGATGGCGCCGAGCGAGCAGCGCGCCCGGCCGCTCCTAGGGAGGTCCATGGGATAGCTTGGACGGACACCATGGACTTTACTGGCTTCAGGATTTTAACCTGGAGGCACTTGTGGATGACCCGTCTYTCAGAGGGTGCTGCCAAATCTGCACCGCAGGCTTCCCTATCCCCYGTGATCTTGCAATTTTTTTTTCATCATCTCCAAAAAGAAACCTCCTAGCACAAGTCTTTTTATGCACTCATGCAGTGAGATGGGGATGTGAGATGCTGTTTCTGCAGCAGAGAGGGGGATTTTGGTCAATCCCAGAGCAGCATATGGAAAATTACTGTGTGAGGAGGCTGGAAACGCCACCGCAGTGGGATGGAGAGCGGGCTGGGGAAGCAGCTGCCCGGGATGGAGCAGCGAGACCCTGACCATGGGGTGGCCCCATGTGGCCCCTCCATCCACAACCTGAAGGAGTCTCCAAATCCTGTTTCTAATCTCGTAAATCTCAGTCCTTGCAAACCCAAGGGCTCAGGCAACACTGCTAGTGGTCTTTACSTGCCCTGGCCTCCAGGGTCTGGTCTCCGGAGCTGACAGATGCTCCCTCCTACCTTCTCTTCACTGGAGAGGGCYTCACCCGGGCTTTCTGTGGAGCTCAAGGCTGCTCTGGTGGCAGCCTCGATGCCCTCTTCTCCGCAGCCTCCCCGGGACCAGCCAGCTGGTGCTCCAGCCTTCCCTGCAAAACCTACTCAGGGCTTTTCCACTAGATGGAGCMTGGGGGGAAATACGAAGGGCAGCAGCTCTGTCCAAGGAAGGAGGGAGCAAATCCCACCTCCTGCAGCAGGGCGACTCTCTGGCTCAGAAGCTCAGCTTTAGAAAATGCAGCAGAGACAGGGCCCACGCGAGGACATGTCAAAGCTCAGCCAGACCGAGCTGCAGCAGGCGCTAACTCGGGTATCTCCAGCCCCAAGGCAGGTCACACAACAGCGCAGTGGGCCTCGTGCTCTGCTTCGAGTTCTCCATGGAAAAGCAGGCCCGGCTGAGCTGCCCTGGTCCTCCTGTGTGCCTCATSGTGGTGAGAGGCTCCTTTGCAGCCTCAGAGATGAGGGGCTAATTAAACCCCCTGTTCTGGCGAGTGTCAGGAGCTCTACACCTTGCATGGACTTTGCCCTGCGGATGCTCAGGGCTCCCTGCATGCGGAGGGCGATGGAGCAAGATGGAAGTGAGGAAGCAGCATGTGGCCACTTGACACTTTGCTTCTCCAGAGCGTTTCCTTCTTGTGGTCTCCCAAAGCCCTCGAGCTGCAGCAGGACCAGGCCCAGTAGGTCCATGCCAAGGGTAGACCCTGTCTGTGCAGCTCCTCTCACGTCTGCCTCTGCCAAGATGCCTTCTGCAAACATCCCCGCTCTTTGGACTAAATAATGGCACATGGCTCCAGCGAAACCTGGGTGCAATGTGCCAGACCTCGAGTCATGCAACAAGCTCCGTTTATTTATTAGTCCTGCAGCAAAAGCCATGCGCCAGAGGGGCTGCATCCCCYGGGCCGTCAGCAGCACCCACGGGGGCCGCAGGCCGCAGGTCCCGGGGCGCCCCGCTGCTCCAGCAGCTGGAAGGGGTCGCAGATCCTCCCCTGGAAGCAGAGAACAACCCGAGGCAGGACGCAGAGCGGGAAGCAGGAGAGCAACGCTTCCCCACAGCGTGTTCCCTTGCCCAAAGGCAGCCCCRGCCAACCCCCCCGCAGCTAGTGTGAGGGCAGTCCCTGCTTGYAGTGTGGGGCACCGGCCCAGCTGCATCTCGCTGCCATGAGGAGGATGCCAAGAGCTCCTCCAGGACCTTCGCTCCRCTTTTATCTGAGAAATGCTTGGACCAGGACAGAGAACATCCCTCCGACCCCAGGCACAAGGTTGCATTTCAGGGACGCGCAGCTGCAGGGATTCATCTCCCTCGCCTCCAGAAAACCACCAGTTGTGGCTCCCACCGACCCAGCTCCCTCCAGAGAGGTCTCCAGCAGATAAAGGCACCTCAAGGTGCTGGGAACTCTGCTCACACCAGCACTCAGATGCCCTCCACTTTGCACCCTTCYCGGGGGGATCCTGCTCAGCCTCAGGCACAAGTGTCCCCAAGCCAAGCCCATGTGTCCCAGCCTCCAAACCGATCCATGGAGGTGCAGGATACCAACCTTCACCTTCCCAGGACAGCAGCCTGGCRGTGCTGTCCCCGCATGGACCCCGCCGTCGTGGATGGAGAAGTGCTGCGCGAACCGGGAGCTCCGCAGGATAGCGGCCGTGTCAGCGTCCACGTCCACYGCCTCTGCTGCCTGGGGGCACAGGGACAGTGACAGGGCCCTGCAGCCCCCACAGCCCCAGCCAACACCGTGGGCCATGGYGGGTGAAAGCAGGGGCACAGCTTGGCCAGAAACCCTCCAAAACCCCGCAGAAGACCCACAGCTGGCAGAGCAGCTGGCTCCAGTCCCCCTGTGTGTCCCCACAGAGCTCCCCGGCCCATTTTCACCCAAAAGGGGGCCGCTCCCTTGGCTTATGTGGCCCCCCTGCTCCCACACCCACCATCCCCAGCACCCTCCATGCTGCTCATCCCCCTAAACCACCCGGGATGCCACCAACATCCCGCCCATCCCGGCCTCGCGGCCCCGCGCGCCTCCCTTGAAGGTGAAGTTGGTATCGAAGACCAGCTGCTGCTCGTGCCCCGCAATGCCACCGCTGTAGACGGCCCTGCCCGGCGCAGCCTGGCCGCCCTGCGGCACCTTGAACAGGCGGCACGTGGCCGAGATGAAGCGGCAGTCGCCTGGCGGGGAGAAGCGGGTGAGCCACGAAGGTGACGTGTTGGCCACGAAGGCTCCGTGTTGGCCGTGATGACAACCCCCCGCACGGCGCCTCACCGGCCACGCGCTGCAGCTCCGGGTGAGGGATGGCGACGGGGCTGGCGGAGAGCAGGCGCGGGGCGCTGAAGCCCAGCTCGCGGGCRATGCTGCACAGCTCCGTCCAGCGCAGCGCTCCCGCCAGGCACTCCCCTGGCACGGCACGGCAYRGCATGGCACAGCACAGCACGGCGCGGCTCGCACCCCGCGCCGGCACGGGCAGCGCTGGCCGCCTGGCGTGTGCCGCCTCCCCTACGCACCCCAGAGCACCCTGTGCGCCCGCGCGGCCTCGCTCAGGCACCCACTCGCGTAGACGTCGCTGAAGTGCATCTCTCCGCCGGGCTGCGAGGGGGCAAAGAGGCACCGTCCCACCGAGCGATGGCAACTCGGGTCGACACGGGCCGAGAAAGGGGCACTGGGGGCGCRGGTACCTTCAGCACCCGGTAGGCCTCCCGCAGGACGGCTCTCTTGTCCGGCGCGAGGTTGACCACGCAGTTGGAGCTGGGGAGAGGATGAGGGGCTTGTTTGGGCATCAGGAGGAGCAAAATATGGTTTCCAATGTGCAAGCAGCCTGGTGCATGCGGGTGCGGGCCCCGGCCCACAGCCCTGGCACGCCAGGCCGGCCTGTCCCCACTTGGTACCTACATGACAACGTCGTAGCTCTCGTCGGCCAGCCCGGCCTCACCTAGCTTCTCCATGAAGCCCCAGATAAAGTCCACGTTGGGCRCTCGGTAGCCGAACTTGTCCATGTGGTAGGCGAGGTGCCTCTTTGCCACCTCCACCTGGGGYGCGAAGGGAGCGGAATGGGAGCTGGGATCCAGTCCAGCGCCCGCGGGTGCCTCGGAGCRGGGCCGCCCGGGCCATACCTGCTCCTGGGTCATGTCTATGCCGGTGACGTGGCCCTTCTCCCCCACGAGCTGGCTGAGCACGTAGCAGTCCCTGCCGCTGCCGCTGCCCAGGTCCAGCACGCGGCGGGACGCCAGGCCCTCSGGCAGCAGCAGCCCGCACCCGTAGTACCTGCGGGCCGGGCGCGAGGCTGGCGCTGCGTGCGGGCACCCGCGCGCCTTGTGCGATGTTCCCAGCGCTCACCTGGCCGCCACCTCCGGGTGCACTCGCTCCAGCGCCTCCCTGGCCRCCGGGGACAGCGGCTGCGCTGGCGTCACGCAAGCCGTGGTCTTCAGGTCCTGCGAGCTCTGCAGCTCTTTGCCGTAGTAATCCTGAGGTGCGGGCAGCCGGGTACCGACCGCGTGCCGCGGGCACCGTGCGTCTCCTTGGCGCGCGGCGGCCCGCGGGGCTCGGCCGCGGGCTGAGCTCGGCCCTGCCGCCCCACTGCCGTCCTCACCTGCACCGCGCGCTGGATCTGCTCCCCGGCCGGGGCYGCCACTGCGAGGAGAGCGCCGGGGACGCGGGGCTGGCACCGATGCCACGGGCATGGGCACCGCGCCACGGCCGGCCCCAAGTTCCTCAGCCCCCAACAGGAGGGACTCCGCGTGTGAGCTGTTCCCCTTGGCGAGCCCCAGAACACCCCGCACTTGTGTCCAAGCGGGACTCCCAACCCCAGTTCCTGTCGGAGCCTGATGTTCCCCAAAACGAGCCTCCCACATCCAGGCCGTGCTGCCTGGGGGCTGAGCCCTCCCAAAGCGGACACCGCTTTCCCATGAGGCAAATCCCACCCCGGGGACTCCCAAGCCCCAAGGAGACTCCTGCTCCCCAGGAACTGCCCCCATGCGGGTGTYGGGGACCCCCTTACTGCCTCCGCCCCGGGAATCGGCCAGACTCTGCCCCGGCCAGGCCTCGCTCCGCCCCGTCCCGCGCCCCCCCGCCAGCACKGGCTTCCGGCACCGAATCCGGCCCGGCCCCGGCCCGTGGCCACCAGCACCCCACGCTTGGGCTACGGACCCTGCTCTCGGCCACAGCGCGACCACACACGGGCCAGGAAAGGACTAGGGGCTTAGAAGAGGAGAGAAAGTAAATACATAAATAAATAAATAAACAAAATAGAAACACAAGCCTTTTCTCACAGTAAAGCAAATCATTTTAGTCTTTTACACCCTCCTCTGCTGTGYCCACGCGAGAGCAGAGCAGCCAGCAGCATCACTGGGCTCATCGGATTAGCCCGGACACCTCCGTGGGGACGCCGGAGAGGGGCTGCCGCCACGTGAGGTCCACATGAGCAGCCATGGAGAGGAGCAATCCCAGCCCAGGAAACGGCTCTGCCGTGTGCAATCCTGCAGATCCGCAACAGGAACGCGGCAGGCTCATCTCTGCTCTCCCTGTGCCTCGTCCTATCAGCTGATGAAAAGCACACTCAGGCAATGAAGTGCTTCCAGTGTGCTGCAAGTGCTCCAGATAAGTGACTTACAAAAACCAGACGCAATATTTATAGCCTGGACCCAATCTTGTTCTCTGGGAAGTGAACAGGAGCCCGGCCGCTAATCCCCATACACACAACAGCTCAGAAGTGAACACAGAGGCTTGCAGGGTTTTTTTTTTTTTTTTTCTCTCTTTTTTGCCTTCTTTCCCCCAACTCCCCACTTCCCAGCTGTGCCTTTGGATACCTTCCTGATCCCATACAAACACGTAACACATCCAAGGCTGATTAACTGAGCTGGAGCAGCAACGCACGAATAAGAATGCAGTTGAAGGCCAAAGGCAGTGCAGATGGGCTGGCAAGGGGAGGACATTCCAAATCCTGGCTTTGTAGAAAAGAAGATAACCTCAGAGCAGGATGCTTACCAAACAATATCCAGCTGGACACAGTGTGCGTGCCCAGATTCCTGCTTTTAAAAATTCTGCTTGGGACCAGCACCCCAGCCTGCACTGCAGCACCTCTCCCCACCTCTCCCCACTTGGAGCTTGTGCTGATTAATATGCCCTAAATAAACTGCACTGATCACCCCTGTGCCAAAGGACCAGTGTCAAACTGCAGGCACCTGTATATAAAACCCACAACTCTATTCTCCGCATTTCCTGTGAGGGGACAGATGGGGGGAAACCAATGTGTCTGCAAAAAATGTCTTTATGATTCCTGATCCTGGGTAGATATAACGACCACCCTTCCATCACCTCACAGGAGATGACTCCAAATTGAGCAGAGGTTAGAGATGGGAAGGAAAATCATCCTCCCATGGCCACAAAAGACGTCAGACCTCGGGCAGAAGGAGCATCACGTGCTGCACGCAGGGCTGGACGGCCGTTTCACACACACAGCTGAACAACCTGCATGCCTGGGGTGCTGGCCGAGCACTTCCCGCTACACACAGAAAGCCACGAGCACAGGAGCTGCTGGGGAAGGAAAGTTTCTGGGGAGTTTCGATCGAATGCAGCGAGCGGGCACGCAATCTAGAGACGCAGGCGTGGATGGGAGCACGAGAGGGGTGCAGGCTCGGGAACAGACACTCTGTGTTTGTCCCAGTTTGTCCCCGCTGACACCCAGTCCCAGGCAGTGGAGGGCTGAATGCCTGGCTCGGGGAGGGGGAAAGGACTGACGGCTTCCACGAGGCTCCCGTCGAGACGTCCTCGTGACTTTGGCTACGCTTCATTTCAGCAGGTGATTCAGCTGGTCCTGTAGGTTTGAGGATTGCTCGACGCTAGGGACCAAAGAAGAGATTCACAGTGAGATTCGCTCCCCAAATGTGCACTGTGCTGCCTGCCCCTGAGGACTGGAACAGCTCTAACCCAGATACAACAGAAAAGGGAAACCCTGGGGTCCCACAACCAACCTCCATATCCCCACAGGCACAAGGCAAACCTTACTCTGCACACCCATAAGCAGACAGCTCTGCTCTACACCACTCTCATATCAAGCCTATCAAGCTCACAGGCTCTATCACAGTAATGAAACAAAAAGAAGTTTTAAATAGCTGSTTCACCCAGGCTCTCATCTCTTCAAAGTACTGTTCTTTACAGTGGCAAAGGATTGTCCTGCAGTGCCAGCAACTTCAAAAGCAGCTGCAAACTCCCCTTAGCTACATTATCCTCCGTGCCACTCCACTACTCTTCCCTTTCCCATTAGCTACCCACTAGCTCTCAGGTATTCCATGCAGTTCCTCAATTGGGTACTCACTTTTTCTGAATTGCTTCCTGCCTAAATGAGAAAAGAAAAGAGCATTAAAAAAAATTAAGGGTTCATGACATGTTGATCAAGAAGAGCTTGATTAAGGGCTTACAAAGGTCAAACTCTGGTGTTATTGGATTAACTTCAGAGTGCATAGCACCTGTTTCTCCCTCTTAGCCCTGGGACATCATACACTCTCATGGGACAATTCGTGCACAGCAAAGAGGAGGCAGAAGTCTCAGCTCTCTGCCGGAAACTGCTCCAGCCTCCACAGAGGAACAGGGAGGGCTGAAGGMTCCCAGCTCCAGGCTGTGCCCAGTTTTGAGGAGCTGAACAAAAGGGATCAGTCTGAGCRGGCTCTGTGCAAAATCTCCGCTATGCAGGGTCCTAAAGAAGGGGGAAACGTGGAGAAGGGACCAGCTCAGCACCCCACAGAGTACATCACACCCCCTACTTACTGGTATTGTAGATGAGTGGTTATAATGGCCATTTTCCTTAAACTCTGTGGAGAACAAGACAAAGAAAGAACRCCTCTTACAAACGATCTCAGCCAAATAGCAGGGCAAGAGGTCTCAGAGCTTCTGCTTTCCTGGCAGTCCCAGAGTGGCTGTAGGATCAGTTCCCTGCCACAGCCTCAGCAGAATGACAGGTACCCCTTGGGTGAAAAAGGAAGCCAAGCGCAGGAGCCTGCCCGCGGCGCCGCAGCGGCACCACGAGCCGCCGTCTCGTCCCGGGGCACGCTCGCCTCTCCCCTCYGTGCCTCCCTCCCGGCGAGCGGCACCAGGGCAGAGGCGTTGCACCCCGCAGCCCCTGCTGCTTTCTGTGGAGACACGGCCCGCCTGGCTGACCTGTGCTGCAGGACGGCGTTTGGAGACTCTGTGAATGATCCTGGCTACCAGCCCTGCTGCCTGCATCCGCGTATTTCACTCCAGGGCTCCACATCCCAGTTCCCGCCACGCTCCCCATCCCCTTCCCAGCGGGAGCTGCTGCTCGCGCAGCCGGACGGYGCTTACGTCTTCCGAGTGCAGGATGGCGTCCTCCTGCATCACCATGTTCCGGGCGGCCTGGCCCAGGAGCTGCAGGAGAAACGGGAGCTGCGACCCCTGCGCCCTGGGGTCCCGACCGCGCCCGGACTACAGCTCCCAGCGTACCCCACGCCGCCTACATCTCCCAGCGTGCCCCGCGCGCCACCCCGCACATGGCCACGGGTGGCCCGCGCGGTGCACGCTGGGCCCTGTAGTCCCCCGGCGCTCCCGGGGCCGGCCGCCCCCGCTCACCTCGGCGCTCCGGGAGCCCTTGAGCACCTGCTTGGTGAGGGCGATCACGTCGGTGCCGCAGCTCGTCACCTTCTCGGTCAGCAGCCCCTTCACCGAGTGGCCGAAGCGGGCCTGCGCGTCCGCCGCGCCCCCCGCCGCTGACGCCGCCGCCATCTTGGCCGAGCCCCGCCTCGGCGCTGCCGGGCAGCGCTACGGCGAGCGCCTGGGCTCAAGGGAAGTCGGAAAGCGCAGGGGCCGCGCGGGCCGCCGGCTCGCAGCGCCTGCCGCGGGGCCCCGCGCCTCAGGCCGGTCCCGGGCTCCGCAGGGCCCGCACGCACGAGCGGGGCTGCCGGCTGCTCCGCAGGCCCCGCACACACGAGCGGGGCTGCCGGCTGCTCCGCAGGGCCCTGCGGCCCCCGGCAGAGCTGCCCGCCGGGCCCCGTGCTCCCCGAACGTGCCCGGTGTCCCAGAGCTGCACCGTGCT